GAGCAGCTGGTGAGCTTGAACCATTGACCTTGCAGTTCAAATGGCTTTGCAGTCTGGTGCATTAACCCACAGCGCCACACCAGGATTCCATGTATACTTACATACATATATAATTCATTTATAAATACATAGTGAAGATGACTACTAAAACCAGTTCATTATATAATCATTAATTGTAGACAAGCAAAACTTTTTGTCCATTCTGGTGCCCATTTTAAGGAGCCCTGATGGCACCATCATTAAGTGCTTGGCTGCTCACCAAAAGCTTGGTGGTTCAAACCCACCAGCCGATCTGAGGAGAAAAATGTGGCAATCTCCTGTAAAGATTACAGTCTTAGAAACCCTATGGGAAAGGTATACTCACCCCGTAGTATTGTTATGAGTTGGAATCAACTTGATGGCAGTGGATTTAGTATTGGTTTAGTCCCTCTTTTCACTTTCACATATTCTGGTATAATGTAATATAAATAATAAAATATTAACTCTCCAATAGGATGAAAAATAGAAGTTGAAGTTTTGTAATATTTTCTATTTTGTTATTTGTTTTCCTTGGCTACAGTTATTTATTTTTCTTAGCTGGTATGGTGCTGTGGGTTAATGCTCTGACTGCAAAGTCGGTTTGAACTGCAAGGTTTGAACTTCAAGCTCACCAGTTGCTCCTAGAAAACGCTATACAGGGTCACTATAGGTCAGAACCAACTCCACAGCACTTAACAACAACAGTTATGTTACTCTTTTAAAAAATTTAAATATATAAGATGTTTACAGTAAATGGGAAAAATGAACATTTAGTCAGGTGATGGGCAAAAAGGAGTTATATAAGTAATATATTGACTTCATGCATCTTTAAATTTTTTCAAGTCACAGTATTTCTCTAAAATGAAATATAAGAAATTTATCTATTACTAATAAAGCCTAGCACAGTATATCTGTATTTAGTGAGTAAAATCTTATGTGATCATTCACATGGATTAAGATGTTGTTGTTAAGTGCTGTTGAATCAGTTCCTACTGATAGCTACCGAGTATAGCATTTCCGAGGAGCGGCTGATGGGTTTGAACCGCTGACCTTTTGGTTAGCAGTCCATTGCTTATCCTGTGGCACCACACCAGGACCCTGGATTAAAAGGAGTATAAGAGAAAATACCCAAATCATTTTTCAGTAACCAAACTTCACCAGTGTATATTTCCCACAATTTACTAGGCACTCATACTAAATATTCTGTTGACAGTTCTAATGTAATGCGTACAATGGAATCACTGTCTACCTCTCTCTTTCCCTTTCCCATCCCCTTTAACCTCTTTGTCCTAAACCCAGTTTGCCTTTCCTTTTATAGTTTCCATTTTTGTTAATGATGTTACTATTCACCTAGTCACTCAAGGTAGAAAGCGCTGGAATTATCCTTAACTTCTCTTCTTCCTCATATTTTACTTAAGTCATTTTCCATGTTCCTTGAACAAAGGACTCTAGAATTTACCTCTCTTCTCTGTCCCTAGCACTACTGTGTAGTTTAAGAATTCATCGTATTTTCCTTGGAACTTCTCAGGTAACTTACAGTTGGTTTCCTTGCTGCCAAGTAGTGAACACTCCCTGCTATATTCAGTTTTCTGATAATTTTAAGGCATTATAATTCTACAGGACAGACCTATAATCATGTTTTAAATATAAAATCTGCCAGATGGTATAAAAGCCCTTTAACAATTTGGACTTCACTTTCATTTACGGTGTCTCCTCTTCTGACATATTCTTCTTCTTTTATGAACATGCATTATTAGTTAAACCATTCACTCACGGTTAAGTCCAGCCATGTGCTAGACATTGTGTTCAGTGCTTTGAAGATACAGAGATTAATAAGACAGTCATGATGTTTGCCCATTAGTGTTTATAGGATGCCATGCTCAGTGTTTCTGTGTCTTTGACTATGCTATTTCATCTGCCCTTTTGCTGTTTATAGAGTTTCTATTAATTTTTCAAACCATGCTCAAGTGTCAACTCCTTTCTGAAGCCTTTAGTAACTTCTGCAGGTAGTGTTTCTTCTTTGTGCTCCTGTAATCCTTTATATTCATATATCTGTTATAATAATTACTGTATATATTATATCTATTTTATTGATAGTTAATGTTTACCATTAAGTTAGAGTTATAAATGGGAAAGAGGAACAAGCAAGAGGAATGCAAAAATCAGTAAGCAGTAAGAAGAGAGAAGAAGGGAAGGAGAGAGGAAAATAGGAGAAGCAATGTGAGCATGGTTAAAAACACAAGACTCTGGGGACAGACAAGATTTGACTTTCCACTTACTAGCTGACCATATGGTTTCATATGTCTGTCTCTCAATATCTGTGTCTCACTTTATAATCAGTGTAATAATAGGGTCATGGTGAAAATTGTTTGTTAATATGTATATATCAAGTGCTTGACACAGTGAGTCATACATAATAAATGCTAGTGTGTTTGCTGTTATTGTTGTTAGCAATAACTATCTTATTTCTTTCTCATCTAGTCTTCAAGATAGAAAGTGTACAGATTGCCTGATATCTAATCCCTTGTGGCCATTTAAGGCATCAAAACTTTGTTGTTGTTAACTTCTTACTGTGATTTGGGCAAAAGTTTATAGAGAAAGTTGATTTTCCACTCAACAATTCATGCACATTCTGATTCATGACATTGATTGGAATCTCTACAATGTAACCACATTCTTCCCACTGTTCACCATTTGTACTCGTCCTTTTCTGTTCCTTCCTACCTTCTGAGGTTTCACCATGGGCAAAAGGTGCCTTTTTGATCTCATATGGTTGGTTGTTCTAAGGAGTGTGTATCTCCCAGAAGACATCGAACTTTTGAGTGTTTTTCATTTCACTGATTGGAAGAAATACAGCCACAGTGTTCCTTGGAAGCCATGATGGCCAGACTTTGTCTTTCATTCCTTGGACGTATTGTCAGGAGATACCAGTCTCTGGAGAAGGATTCATGTTTGGGAAAGTGGAGGGTCAGGGAATAAGAGGAAAACCCCCGACAAGATGGATTGGCATAATGGTAGCATCCGTGGGCTCAAACATAGCAATAATTGTGAAGTTGACCCAGGACCAGGCAGTGTTTCATTCTGTTGTGCATAGGGTAACTGTGAGTCGGTATTGATTTGATGGCACCTAATAACAACAACTTATAAATATATTTGCTATTTACAATGCTATACTCAATTACTACTCTCTTCTACTTCTTCATACCATATTTTGAGCATTCCTGGCCATTAGTAATGCTGTTGATGATCTTCTATTTTCACTCTTATCTCATCCTTGATGTTTGAACCACATCACTGTTTTTATGTTATGTACCTTGACTTCAATATTATTCACTTCCTGACTATGCTTCAGACAGACTGAGATAGGTAGGACTGATGTCTAGGTATGATTTCTTGGTTCTAGTAACAGTGCTTGCCCCTGAATCTGCTATCTGACAACACTCCTACCAATTTCTACCACCTCCTCCCCTCACTCTCACTGACCCTCCCCTACAGCACCACTCTAGTTCATCCTTTACCACAGCACTATTAACCCAGCTTTGAGTAGAATATAATATCATATTCAAGTCTACCCTTGAGATGTATAGTTTTCACAAAGACTAATAGATTAAAGCACTTGTCACTAACCAGTTGGTGATTTCATTTTTAGTAAAGGAGTTAGATACTAATTACCCTTCTGGCTAGAGAGAAAATCTTGGAGGATATGGCTTTTTAGTTGTTGTATGAGTTGTATGAGGGCAAGTTGTTGAGGTGGGAGATGCTTGAAGTTTAGGAGTCACTCTCAACTAGTACTTGAATATTATATGTAGGGCAATGGAGATACACAAAATTAGTTCCTATTTAACACTAAATGACTAGTTGAAAGAAAAGAGTGATAGATGAGTAGAATAGTTAGAGAAGATCTTATCTTTTCTCACTCTGCACCATTTTCCTGGGTAATTTCTACTATTCTCTCAATATTTGTATATTTGGCAGCTCATTATAGCAAAAATTTGCTCTGTTTCTAGAATGTACAGTGATGTCCTGTCTCTGGACCTTTGTACATGATGTTTCTTCTTCTAGTTACTTTGACTAATTCTGAACAATTTAAAAAGTATCATTATAAAAACTGTCACTTTCAGAAAAGATCTCTTGATCCCTCAACAGTTGATTAAGTGTTCTTATCGGGTCACTATGACTGGTTTTCTTTTCTTTTGTGTATGTTGCTCTTAGTTCCTGTTCTTTCTCAATTCCAAGTCCTCTTACATGGTATTGTGACTGTCGTTATTAGACTGTTGATGTAAGACAAGAACTGTGTATATCAATGTCTGGTGTATCGCTGATGCTCCAAAAATTTGGCGACTGACTGAATAATAGAGAATGAGTGATGTGATAGAGAAGATTGGTCATTCTAAGAAGAAGATGAGCAAAATCCAGGCGTGTGGAGATGCATATAGCAGATTCTAAGGCAATCACTGGAACCATTTAACTGGAGTGTGATACTGAAAACACAGACCAGAGCTCTGAAAACCAGGTTAGGGAGTTCAGAATGTATTTAATAAGAAAGGGGCATTGAAGCCTTTAGAGATAATAAGACTAACAGTATCTTTTCGCATGGTTTGATTAAGCAATATACCAATGCCTGGGAATTATTATTTCTTAATTCTTATGTTAACATTTTTGCGATACTCTTCAATAGATGAAACATGGTAAATGCTTATTTTGTATACTTCTTATTTTGAGACTTTGTTTCCAACATAATTTATAGGGAAACGTTTAGATGTGAATGAATGACATGGCATGAATTAAACAGCTGTTATTAGACACAGTTTGTTTTTCTTATAAATGAAACTATTTTAATTTCATTAAAATGAAAACTATGACAATTAAAAAATATACTTCAAATTAAGGCAGTAAGTTAACATGTGTATGGGGGTTTCCCTTTATTTGTAATTTAAAAGAAATAAATGCTTACAGCTGTGACTTTTTTTCTCTCCAGTATCTCCAGAGGCAGTTGGATTTCTGTCAGCTGTTGGGGTGTTTATTATCTTGATGCTGCTCCTTTTTCTCTATATTAATAAGAAGTTCTGTTTTGAAAATGTCGGTGGGTTTCCAGATCTTGGTTCGGGATACAGTACAAGGAAGAATTCACAAGATAAAATTTGTAAGTATCATGTTACTGCTTTTCTTGCTTTTTTTTTTTTCAATTTGATCTTTGCTAATCTATGACTTTGTATGGTTTTAATTATATATCCAATAGAAAGGTCAGTTTCAACGTAAAGTGCACTAACATTTGAGACACTATTCTGTGAGACTAAAAGATTTTTTATTAAGTAAATTATGCCAGTTATATTCCTGTTGCCTACAAATTGTCAGCATACTGTATACAAGTCAGTAAGATGGCATTTTAATTTTCTATATATAGTTTATGCTTTTGTGTCTTTAATATGAATAGATATGCTTTAGGAAGGAGAAAGTATCTTGATGCATATATAACTTAAACCTACTGCCCAAAAGCATCTTTCTGTTATTGTTCCTTAAAATCCTAAATCGATACCTTGCTTTGAAAAGTCCCACTTTGTTCCTGTAGTCATTTATAGAGAAATAACAAATTAGAACTCTAATAAAAATTAAAAAGAAAACATTTCTACAGGACAAAGAAGAGTACCAAAGTTTTCACAAATATTGGTATCTATTAAGACCGAAATCATATAATGCCTGTGATGTCAAGGGATGGAGCAGAACACTACATTTTATAACCAGACTCTATAAACTCTGTAATTGGGAAATACCACGTTCTCCAATCAATAAAATTATCCATCAGCTGGGCATTTTCAAAAACCCTATAAGGACAAAAAAAAAAAAAAAAACCAAAAAAACAAACCCACCCCATGAGGACATTAGAAAAAAAAATCACTAGAGAGCTATTTGGACAGTTTTTGTTGTTAAGTACCGTGGAGTCGGTTCTGACTCATAGTGACCCTGCACAGGGTTTCTGAGGCTGTAAATCTTTAAGGAAGCAGAATGCCTCATCTTTCTCCTGCGGAACCACTGGTAGTTTCCCTATGAGTCGGAATCGACTTGACAGCACTTAACAACATCATAAATGTAAAAAACTGTAGTTCCCAAACCAAAACAGTTTGGTAGACAGAGTTGTGCTTTAGATGTTTTGCAAGTGTTTTTAAGGCCTTCTGTAATAGACAACAGCTGGATTATTATACCTGCTTCTACAGTTAATTTGTCATGTAGCCTCTGGAACACCTGTGTTCACTTGGGAGCAAATGAGAATGAAATCATTAAATATTATGTTAGTATTATTCTTATAAAAGTATCTTCGACCTTGAAGTATTCTTCGAAGTGTCTTGGGGACCTTCTAAAATTTCCTGGACCTTTCTTTTATTAAATAAGAGTAAGACTTACCTCCTAGAATTATTTATAAGCTCAAGTAAGATAACAGTTGTAAATCACAATACCTTGTATGTAATAAGCCATTCAACATATGTTCATTCTTCTTTCCCATACTCCAATCTCTTTCCAGAATTGTTTCAATTAAATAAGTTTGTTTTGATAGTTCCCCTTTGATTCCTCTAAAATACTCTTTCTCTTAATATTGTTCTGTAGTTTGAAATAATGCTGATAGTTTCTTTGTAAAATAGAGTAGTTCTCCAACATAGACTATAAACAGATAAATTAAAAGTACATAATAAACATCATTTTTATACTTCTTCCTTGCAGGTCTAGAATAAAAACCCAGTAGTATTTGAGGGGAAAATATTTTATTGCTGCTATTATGATAGCTATGGAGTGAGAAAATGTCATTACATTTAAGCCAAATGATTTGACTTGTTTTTCCTGAAGAGTCTGTACTTCAACTTCTTTTTTCCCAAGCATAGTGCATTTACAGAAAGAGTAAAAGCTACAAGTGTGAAATACTAATAATGAACTGATGAGTAGCAACATTTTTGTAAATATTAAAGGCAAGTTCCAAAATAGTTGATATTTTAATTAAGAAGATAAATTTTTAGGAATAAAGTATTAGAAAATGTCCTTTTTCAAGAATTTTCAGCAGAATCTGCCTTCAGTGTCTTCTCTGGTGGGCACAATTAGCAGTGCTGTAGAAGACTTGACCACTGCTGTTGAGGTGGTCAGCTATACGCTAACTGACTCTGTTGCTGAACAAGTGACAAGTATGATAAATGGCTTTCGTGCAGAAGAGGAAAACTCTCAAGCAAAAGAAGCCATAGATGCTTCTAAACAAGACAATGTCATATTACCAGAAGTCTTCAAAGATGCCGATTGTCAAAAAGTGCATTCCAATTTAGAGAACAGAGCAAAGCAAATAAATTGCTACAATTCTTCATTTTCCCAAAAGCCTGAACAAAGTATGCATGAAGAAAGAGTACTTAAACATATTAGTGGTAGACAACAGACTCTATTAAAATATCAAGAGCCTAGTCTAGCTGGTGATTCTCCTTTGAAAGGCCCCATGAGTGATGGCAATTCGGTCTTCAAGCAGAGTGCACAGGCTGTGTCTACGAGACAAGAACTTGAAAGTACTGACAGATGTGAAAATACTCACTCTAATGATAGATTACATGGAAAAACCAAAGAGCAAATAAATCCAACAAAACACTACACAGTGAAAGGAGACACAGAATCAAAGAAAAATGAAACCATTTGGGCCAAGAAAGGGACAGCAAAAAGTAAAGATGAAAAATATTCTAAGATAATACCAGAAAAAGGTGAGGTCTCCTAATGTTAGTTTGAGTGATTTCATTTTCTATTCTTTTTTTTTTTTTTTCACATTAGGAAAGCATCTTCCAAATTTCTCAACTTTTCTTATACATGTCTGTGTATGCAATTTAAGACTATTTTTGAATCCTCTTTCTAAAAAACACTTAAAAAGTCATTTCATTTTTCTCACACTCATTTCAAGAGCATTCATGTTATTTGTACACCCACAATAAAAGTATTTCCCTCGGTCCCTGCGTTTTTGACAATTTTATCCACTTATTTTATGATCAGAAACTATAGATTTCTAATGTAGTGTGCCTACTTCTAATGATGTTTGTTTAACATGCTATAGATGCATTTTAAAATTAATATATTTATTATTATTATTATTATTTTAACTAACCCCTGAACTGCCAAGTCAGTTTGAACCACAAGGTTCAAACTCACCAGCCACTCCTTAGAAACCCTGTACAAGGCCACTATGAGTCGGAAACTACTAGAAGGCACTTAACAGTAACAACATTCTCTGTACAATGAAACTTTTCAGCATAATAAGACTCAAATATCAAATATTAAATGTTTTATATTTTTCCTTGAGAGCCAAAGATTCTATTTTGTTGATTAACATGCTTTTGTTGTTGTTGTTAATTGCCATCGAGTTGATTCCAAGTCACAGCAACCCTGTATAGAGTTGCCGAGACTCTATCTGTGGGAGGAGGAAGTCTCATCTTTCAACCAGAGCACCTGGTGGACTTGAATTGCCAATCTTGTGGTTGGCAGTCTAGTGCTTGCCTTTTTATTCATTTATCTATACATTACAAATTTTACATGAGTCCTCTATTACGCTTACAATGAGTGTACATGAATGGTCAATTAACATTCCTAAATTCTCCTTATAGAATTCAGATTTCAACTAAACATTTATAGAGTTTTCAGCCTCAATATTTGTGATAATTTTCAAAACAATTAACTTACAGTTAATTCGTTTGGGTTGTAGAACTGCTTCCTACTACTAGTAAGCACTTCTGGTATGTAATTTCCACTTATTGCTCATCTGTCACAAGATCAAAAGTACACTGGCATTTATCTGTAAAATATATATCTGGAATTTTTCTATTAATTCATTGTTGTTGTTGTTAAGTGCTGTGGAGTTGGTTCCGACTCACAGCATCCTTATATATGTTTTCCAAGGAACAACTGGTGAGTTTGAACCATTGACCTTTAGGTTCAAACCGACCTTGCAGTCCAGCACATTAAAACTGAGTAGCAGTTGAAATGAGTAAGACTTTTTCAGTTCTGCTACATGACTACATATATAATAGGGATATTCTGCCATTTATTGAGTAGATGAATGATTTCTAAGTGAAATATAGTAGTGGCTCATGCAAGACAAATAGGCTGAATTAATTAAAAAGGAATGCCAATTTTCCAGAATAAATCTTTGGATTCTATTCTTCTAGCAATTTTTTTTGAATGGCAGATTCAGTGTTTTTTGGTAGACCTAATTTAATTTTGAGCCCTGGTGTGGTGCTATAGGTTAAGCACTGGACTGCGAACCCCAGGGTTGGTGGTTTGAATCTAACAGCCACTCTTGCAGACCTAATACAGGGTCACTATGAATTGGAATCAACTCGGCAGTACATAGCACCAACAAAAATTACAGCAAGTTTATTTTTGGTACCTTTAGTTTTTCAAGTAACAGAATAAACTAGGATAGTTTTTATAGTATTCAAAACCTGACAGTAGAATGCTTTATTTGTGGAGAAGAATCAGTATTGGGTTTGAAAATTTGTTTTGATTTGCTTTCAGTAAGTTGAATGGTGATACCTAAAGAAATCAAATATCTCTCCGATATTCCAGAATATAGCCAGTACTAAACTTAAATAGGAGTCCTGATGTGAAACTGTAGAATAAACACTGAACTGCTAACTGCAAAGTCGGCAGTTCAAACCCACCAGCCAGTTCTCAGAAACCCTATACAGGGTCGCTCTGATTTGGAACCAACTTAATGGCACTTAAATAAGGGTGCTAGTGATGCTGTAGGATAATCACTGGACTACTAACCACAAGGTTGTAAGTTTAAACCCACCATTTGCTCTGTGGGAGAAAGTTGAGACTTACTGTTCTTATAAAACTTACAGCCTCAGAAACCCTGTGCAAAATTGCTGTGAGTTGGAACTGACTCAATGGCACCTAACGTTAACAAACTTAAACATGTTATGTTCCAAAAAATGTTTAGGAAGTTGACTAGCTCATAGATAACCCTTCATTTAACTACCATATTAACCAGGGGGCAGTGGTGGCTCTGTGGTAGAATTCTCACCTTCCATGCGAGAGAGACCCAGGTTCGATTCCCAGCCAGTATAGTCATCGCCTGTCTATCAGTGAAGACTTACTATGATGCTGAACAGGTTTCATTGGAGTTTTCAGACTTAGAAAACCTAGTAAGAAAGGCCTACTTAGCTACGGGTCACAACAGTCTAATCCTGTTGGGCCTGGAATTGCCTTGAGTTGAAGGCTGATTTGATGATGGCTAACAACAATGGCATAATATTAATACAACTTGAGTTTTAGGTTTTGACATTGTGGTTGTGAGATATAAAAAGAGGAGGGAAGAATTTCCTTAAGTTTACATTTGGTAAAATTTTATGATAGGTGAAGTTTGATTATAGAAATGTTTAGTAATATTTTGAAGAGTCTCAATTCTATATTGCTTCCTTAACCTACCGCAGTGGCATTCCACCAAGTATAAAAGCTCTGAATGGAAAGTCAGAGGCTTTTTAACTTCTAAGCTGACTTTGCCATTACCTCACTGCTATGCAATGGAACGTTCTACAATGACGGAAACATTCTGTATATCTGCATTGCACAATACAGTAACCATTTAGCTACACATTACTATTAAGAACTTGAAATGACCAGCCGTTCCTCAGAAACCCTATACAGTGTCGCAATGGGTCAGAACAGACTTGATGGCATTTAACAACAACAACAAAACATTAAGGAACTGGGTTTTAAATTGTACTTAAAATAGCCATATGTCACTAGTGGCTACATATTGGGAAACAATATACTAAGGGGTTTCAAACAGTTTGTGGAAATTTTTCTTTATCTTTTTATTCCATTTTTCTACAGACTTTTTGAAGCCTCCTCATATTGGTCAAGAGTTTTGTTTTATTTTAGTAAACTGCACAAGTTTAGTAAATATATCTATGCTCCCTTATTTCTAGCTCTATAAATATTCAAATTTGTCCCATATTTTGAAATTTCTTATTCTATGCTTCCTCATCCAAGCTTCAAACCTTGATTCCTTTCTCACAGATAATTTCAAGTAAGAAAAATAATTCACTGAATTAGTCCATTCTAACTGCTGTGGTATCCTTGTACAGTAATTCTAAAAAGGTTGCTTCTTGCTTTAAATGAATAATTTTAAGTAAAATTTTCCTACTTGTAAAATTAACTCTACTTGTCACAGGTTATTGGTTTTAACAGCACAGTGTCCATCCTTCCAGATTTTAAACATGTAGTGTTTGTGTGTTTTAAATGGGACTGTAAGTACACCTACTATTTTATAAACTCTTTTTCTTTCACCATGATGTTGTAACTATTCTTTCTCTGTTAGTACTTATGTCAGTTCATCTCATTTCTGAGGACTGTAGAATATATAACAGTATACATATATCATAATTCACTTAACCAAACCCCACTGTTGGACATAAGTTTTAATTTTTTCTTTGCTATTAAAAATAATTCTTCAGTGAGTTGTCTCAAAGATATACCATTGCTCACCATGATTATCCTCTTAATCTGAATTCTTAGAAATGGAATTGATAAATTCTTTGAAATTGATCAAATACTATGAAAAATGTTTAATAATGTATATTGCCCTAATTGCTCTGTAGAAAAGTTGTACCAATTATAATTCCACCAGTAGTATATATAAATCTGCCCATTTCTCTTTGTTCCTTCTAGTATTGAGTGTTGTCAGTTTTTTTTTGAAAAATTTGGCCAAGATGAGAATCAATAATGTCTCTCTCTCTCTTTTTTTAAATAGTAGTATTTTAATATTGTATTTATAAGAGAACAAAAGCAATTTATAAAACAGTATGCTTTTTATAAAATAATACACAGTTTGTAGGCTAAGAATGCAAGCTTTATATCTCTTTCTCTGTCTCACTCTTTTACCAATAATGTCTCTTGATAACACAAAATCAGGTTTATATGTTGTACTGGCAAATGCTTTATACTTCCTTTGTGTGCTACCTTTCTTCTTCTTCTTCTTCTTTTAAATAGAAACCTGATTGCTTTCTTTGACCAACTTAAATTTTTCTTACTGTTTTCAATGAAGGTTAAGGTATAAGACAGATATACATACACTTAGTGCTGAGGTAAAATATGTATGTGGTTGTTGCTGTTGTATGCCTTTGAATTGGTTCCAACTCATAATGACCCTGTATAGAATTTCTGAGAGTGACTGGTGGGTTTGAACTTCCAGTCTTGCAAGTAGCAAGTCTTGCAATTAGCAACTCACTTCCAGTCTTGCAACTCACTTAGCAGTAGAGTGCTTAAGGACCCATGTATGTGGTTGTTGTTGTTAAGTGCTGTTAAGTTGGTTCCATTCATAACAACCCTGTATAGGGTTTCTGAGGAGCAACTGGTAATTTAGAACCTCCAACCTGTGATTCAAATTGAACTTGAGATCCAGGGCTTATCCTACAGTGCCACACCAGGACTCCATGTATGTGGTTGTTCTTGTTGTTGTTAAATGCCATGAGTCAGTTCTGATCCTGTATAGGGTTTCCAAGGAGTGGCTGGTGAATTTGAACTGCCAACCTTACAAGGTCAAACAGACCTTGTGGTCTAGTGTATTATCTCACAGCACCTATGGCCCCCAAAACACTCCCCCCCAATATGAATGAAGTGATTATTATGGGCAGTAGAAAGTCCTCACATACCAAAATATACTTTTTAATTAAAGAAAAATTATATAAGATGATGAGCTCTGTATTTTATATCCATCGTTGAAAAATCCATGTGACGAACATTATTGATAGAATATACAAATTAGAGATTTTTATTAAAATTTAACACAAAAACTCTTAAAGATGAAAATTTTAATTTTTTTAGTTTCAATTTCAGATAGTATGTGTATGTATATATATGTATAGTTTGTGTGTATATATCTACATCTATATTAACATATAGATATATGTTTTTAGTGGCTGTTTTTAAAATATATATATATACATATATGCATATATAGAGAGTGCTGGTGGCACTGTAGGATAAATACTGAACTACTAACCACAAGATTGGGAGTTCAAATCCACCAGCTGCCCTGTAGATAAAAAGATGAGGCTTTTTGCTCTCTTAAAGATTTAAAGTCACAGAAACTCTATACAGGGTCTCTGTGAGTTGGAACTGACTTGATAACACATAACAATAGTATATGCAAATATATGTATATATGTATGTATACACATACAGATATATATGTGTGTATCTAAATAAAACATCAATAAATTTGTTATATTTTACTGCGTTGAAGTTATCATTTGCTCTCTGTATCATTCCAAATAGATAATTCCTATATGGACAAAGATGAGCATGGTTCATCCTCTGAAAGTGAAGATGAAGCACTGGGTAAATATCATGAGGCCTTATCCAGAACACACAATTCCAGACTACCATTGGCAGATTCTAGACAGAAGAACTATACTTGGGAAACAAGACAAAAATACAGTCCTCTCTCTGCAGAGTATGATGGATACAGTAGTGAAGCATCAATAGATGAAGGTAAGATAAGTTAATTATTTTATTTAGTTAAATCACATACTATAGTATTAGAATCACGATCATTGGTACCTAAAATTTTAGGCATCTGTAGTTGCACATCAAGAGAGAGAACATACAGTATAGTCACATTTTCTGGGAATATATGACCCAAATTAAAATCTCTGAACCCAACCAAGCCAAAAACAAACATAGAATCTAAAATGAAAGAAAACTCCAAAATAAACCACTGAATAATTTAAATAAAGTGGCAATTCTACTTCTCCTTCTACAATGGCCATGTGCCCTGGTAAGTATCAGATAGATGGGAGCTGCGAATCTGCTCTTTTCTTAGATGGAATCGGTCCCTACACGCTTGTCATAGGAACTGATATAGTCTTAGTGTCTTGCAATGTGAAATATACTTCCAGTGTGTGAATATATGCTTTTTCACTCAATATGGCTCAAAATATAAGCCAAATATATAGCAGGTGATACACAGCAGAAGAAACTGTCATCTGCAAGAGGGAGAACTGGCTGAGATGGGTTTATTGAGTGTTCATTCTGTATTGCGTTTTGCTTTAGTGACAATTTAAGGAATTTTCAAGGATTATTTTGTCTTTAATTGTTATTTCCTTCATGTTCTGATGCTTCAGAACTCATCCTGTGTAGAAGATACAAGTCCACTGTTAATGTCTTTGTACATCTTTCTGTAAGAGAAATAAAAAAAGATATTTTAAAAATAACTGTTACTTTAGCATCCTGGTGTGGCGCTGTAGGATAAGCCCTGGACTTCTAACTACAAAGTCAGCAGTTCAAGCCCACCAGCTGCTCCTCAAAAACTCTATAAAGGATCTCTGTGAGTCAGAACCAACTTAATGACTCTTAATTACAAACAACATAGCCTTTATTAGAAACAACCTAGCCTTTATTAACAACATAGCCTTTGGGAAGAGTATCAGCAATGTTGAGGAAAGGGTAACCTTGATGGCTTCGATATTCTTGACTTAACCTCTGCAACTGGTGCAAGTATCCTGGAATCATCTTCCCGACTCATTTTTTATCCAAGATTTAGGGTACATCATAGGCTTTTCTAAACATTCTGACCCTAAATTGTTTGATAAAACACCCAGGTAGATTAAAATGAATAGGTATATTGATTTTAGGCATTCTGAAGTTGGATTAAATTTATTTCATAAACATTTGTTGAGAGCTTTTTATGTGCCAAACACTATAGTAGATACCATGGCTATATGTATGACTAAAACAAGCTTATCTCTGTCAGAGTCCACAGTCTGAGATAAGAAGACTAGTGAATAGATGGGTAATATAATATAAGAGATTTTTTAGTTGCATGAATAAAGTAAAGAAGAAATGCAGTAGAGGAGATGACTCAGACTTGCTTGGGAGGTAGGCATATGGGGGGAAGATAATGGAATCTTTTTGAATTGGTGGTGTTTGAACTGGACTTCAGTGTGAATTATTTGAACAAGAATAGAATGGCATGGCTATGCCATGGAGTCATGCAAGCAAAGGAGAGTGTATTTCAGCTCGTGAACTTTGAATCTGTGCTTGGAGAGGCGGCAGGGATTAAATGCCAGCCTTTGGAATTTGGATATTATGTTATATGAACTGTAGAGCCCTGGAGGGTTCTAAAGCAGGAGAATGACACTATCAGATGAATGCTTATAAGGAAATTTATTTAGCTGTTATGAAAGATGAATTGGAGTTTGAAAATAGTAGAGGCATAAAGTTTGAGAACTAGTGATAAGATCCTCATTAATGATGGAGTTTGGGTGAAGAATACCTAAAAACTAGACATGGGCTCGATATACTTTTATGAATGATTGACTGTTTATAGTGAGAGAAGAATCCAGAGTTTCAAGTAAGTAAAAGAACATTAAAGAAGTAAGTCTGTGGGAGACAGTGTTTAGGTTGGGTCATGCTGAGTTTGAAGTCACTATGGAATTAATGTGGAAATGAATGTCCTTGTTAAAACATAAGGTGGGAAGGGGACTAATGAGAATGTGAAGTAACTATGGATTTGGGAGGTAGGGCTACAAAGAAGTGTGATGGAGATTATTGATTATTGAAAGTGTGTTGAAAACCTTATCAAAGGTAATTGGCTATTGAAAGACTAAAGATAGCTATGAGCCCTAAGTAGGTTCAGTGGAGTGGGAAACACAAGAGAATTTGAGAAGAGAGGCAAATTTCAGAGCTCAAGATCTTAAGGGAAAACCAATTTCAAGTGATAGGAAGGAAGTTCACAGCATGTACGCAGGGTTAGATGCAGAAGTACAAAGAAATCTAGTAGGTTTGAGAGACAGGAGTGAAATACCATCCATAAAGAAAGGTAAGAAAGAGAATCAGAGAGAAAATGGCATTTGGATGTAGCTGTTTCAGAGAATGAGTAGTGAGCTGATAAAAAGAAGCAGTAGAGGGAACTTTATAAACTCCAAAATATAAACTGAAAAAAGATGGGGACAATGTTAGGTACAAGTGAAAACTAAAGTTTTTAGCAAGTAACCATGACCAGGAATTTGCTTTTTTAAAAAGGTTAATTTAGCAGCTGGAAAGATATAGGAAAGGATGTTTTTGAAGTAGGCTCTTTGAGAAGTGATATGAATCTGAATTACCTTCGTGGCAGTAGCAATATAGAAGGGTAAGAGAGACGTTATGAAGCTAGAATTTACTTGATTTACTAACTGAATGTATTTGGAACATTAAAAAGAAGGAAGGAAGCATCAAAGATGGCACTGGTTTCTAGCATGTAATCCTAGGAGAATGAGTTGAGTCATCAATATAAATAGGAAATCCAGAGAGGGATCTATTTTATTTTGTCAGAAGTAGAAGGATTGTAGATATGTGATGTAGTAGGATGTCTAAGCCTTTGGAAATGCTTTCTAGCTTGTGATAAATAGGTTTCTATAGAGAGATTTTCAGATCATAGATGCTTAAGGGATAGAAGCATGAGAATGGATGACATTGATGAGAGAGAGTGCCTATAGGGTATAGATCATTTTCTTTCATTGATAGATGGACGAAGGGTGTTACTGAACAAAATAGAACAAAGAGTAATAAGAGATGAAGAATACAATCTGGGAGTGTTGTGTTTTATCAGCTTTGGGAGGAAAGTTTTCAGAAGGAGGAGGGTTTTATGAATCAGATGCTGTGGAGTATTTGAATTCAAATAAGTTTCTTTGCACTTGTCCATTAGAAGTTGATCAATGACCTTCAATAAAATTTAGTAGGAAATAAGGAAAGACGTCAGAATAAACATTGTTAAGGAGAGAGTTTTTGCCGTTAAGTGCTGTCGAGTTGGTTCCGACCAATAGCGACCCTGTATAGGTTTTCCGAGGCTGTAAATCTTGATAGGAACAGAAAGCGTCATCTTTCTCCCATGGAACCGCTGGTAATTTCCAACTGCTGACGTTGAGGTTAGCAGCCTGGCTCATAATCACTACGCTACCAGAGCTTCTTAAGGAGAGAGTAGATGGTAAGAAAATGGACATTTGCTGCTTACACTTTCTAACCACCTCTTACCTAGTCTTTATCAACTTCCAGAATCCAGAGAGATAGTTGAAGAATTTCCACCCACCAGTAGTTACCCTCAGCATATGCTCACTTTCTTACCATCTACTCTCTCCTTAATAATGTTTAATCTGAGTAATGGAGTCCTGATGGGGCGCTGTAGGATAAACACTGGACCTCAAGGTCGGCTTGAACTGCAAAGGTTAGCGGTTCAAACCCACCGCTGATCCTTGAAAACCCTTGCTATGAGTCAGAAGAAACTGACTCAACTGCACTTAACAGCAACAAAAGTATAAGGAGCCCTGGTGGTGCTGTGGGTTAAGTGTTGGTTTGCTAACCACAAGGCCAGTAAGTGGTTCAAACTCACCAGCTGCTCTGTAGGAAAAAGATGAGGTTGTCTGTGCTGGTTTACAGTGTCTGAAACCCTATGTAGGGCCATTGTATGTTGGAATCGACTCCATGGTGTTGTTGTTAAGTACTGTGGAGTCGGTTCTGACTCATAGTGACCCTGCACAGGGTTTCCGAGGCTGTAAATCTTTACGGGAGCAGAACGACTCATCTTTCTCCCACGGAACAGCTGGTAGTTTCGAACTGCTGACCTTGTGGTTCACACCCCTATTCGTAACCACTACGCTACCAGAGCTCCTTGGTGGTAGGTTTTAGGATTTAGTGTGAGTATATTTGTGAAGGAAGGTGATTTGCCTTTGGTACACATTTGAGTCTCTGCCATGTGGTTGTTCTTGTGCGTAGCTGGTGCTTCTCTGCTGAAACAGTCCTCACTTCATGACTGATCACCTGAGGGGATTTGACTCATTTCTCTGAGGGTGAGAAGATGAGGCCACACCTCTCTTTACTTCTCTGTCCCTTTATTCCACATGTTACCGCACAAGTTTATAAAGGTCATAATTGATTTAATTGCTTGAAGTAACTAAAGGACATTCATTACAAGATGCAAGGAAAAATATTTTTAAATGTACATTTTTATATGGCATGGTATTACCTTATGTTATTACCTGATAGCATAGGGTTGCATATTGGGCTGCTAACTGCAATGTCAGCAGTTTAAATCTACCAGCAGCTCCGTGGGAGAAAGATGACGCTTTCTGCTCCCATAAAGATTTACTGCCTTGGAAACCCTATATAGGGTCGCTATCAGGCTGAACTAACTTGATAGCACACCACCATCACCACCATTTCTCAATGGCCTGGTGGTTTCCAGTAGAGAAATTTAGAAACAATCAATATTGGAAACAAATCTGAAGGAGTGGAAAAGGTAAGGGAGAATTTGGAAAGAGCTAAAGAGAGGCCCGGTAGTAAGAACTACCATTTATAGAACTCCTCCTATATGCCCGAGAGTGTCCGTTTCGATATGCATCTTCACATTTAATTCTCACTGCAACCCAGTATGTTGTTGTTGGTAAGTGCCATTGAGTCAGTTCTGACTCATAAGACTCTGCATAGGGTTTCCTAACAATGGCTGGTAGGTTTAAACA